TTTGATTTTGCCTTGAAATCCTTTATTGATTGATGATTATTGTTTGATTGAACTCCAAGGATCCCAACACTTTAGGTAGATCAACAAATTCTAAGCCTTTTTTTTTTGTTTTGAAGAGCACTCATCTCTTCTTAAACTTTTGGCCTCTACTTTGTGTTCTAGTACTTTCTATATAGCTCTAGAATTAAACAAGTGAGAACCATTTGTAGTGAATGCTCTATAATTTTTTGAGTCTTTGATAGGATAGGTATTTCGCAATGGAATATTTTGTACAATTCCTAATTCCTTTTTGGATTGCAATAGGGATATCAAGATCAGAAATAGGAAAAGGAGTGGAGTCTATGGGACAATTATTTGGAATTTAAGAACTAGGAACTCATGATTGACCATTCTTATGCTTAAGACTGTTTGTATTATTCTTAGTATTAGAATTAAACAAGTGCCTAGTATAAACATAGAGCTCGACGAACATAGGTTCTAGAGTTTCCATAAAGACTCAAGCCTTGTGTTCAAAGTCATTAACTTACGCACTACCCATTTTTGCAAAAGACTGAACTCATCTTATCCCTCACGAACCTGGGATTCGAACCCAAAATCTCTATCTTATGTTGTTTAGATGGTATTAAGATTCAACTTAAATCTCTCATAAGGCAGAGATCTTGAATTTGAATCCATGAACGAAACAGAAAATCGTAAGGGATAAGATGGACTTGGGCTTTCTCTAAAGAGAATGCTGCATATGATATAACGATTTGAACATAAAAGCCAAGTAGTTACAGAAAAATACAATTTTTTTTTCCGGTAATGGCTCGAGCCCTATTAATAGTTAATATTTTAAGTTATGATAAAACTCTTACAAAAATAATATTCAATTTAAGGTTAAAATTCTAAATTTTAGCTAAAATTCAATTTTAATGATAATTAAAAAATTGCAAATTTTAAATAAAATTTTAAGGAAAATTATTCTTATTTATCACCATCTATATAATTTTTATATATTGATGAGGTGTCAAAAAGATAACATGTAGTTTTTTCCTTTTATTTGGTTTATGAGATTTTGATCTAATCAAATTTCGCCACATCATCTTTTGGTAAATAAATATGTAAATAATGATATACATATAGTATAATCAAAATTTTTAAAAAAAATTTGTCAAACCCTTTTGAAAATAACATTTAAACCCGTTTCAAAATTAATATTTAAAATCATTTTTAAAATTTGCACTCTAACCCATGCAAACAAGACCTTTAAATTTCTCAAATTGCAACAAAGGTCCCTCTCTTAAAAATTGCAAACTGACCCTTGATTTGAAATTACAAGTGGCCAAGTTCGCTCTCTTAAAAGTTGCAAACTAACCCCCTAATTTAAAATTACAAGGGCCTACAATTTCGCAAATTGCACTAGAAGTCCCTGCTCCCTAAATTCTTACCTAAACCCTAAAAATTTTCTCCTTTTCTTCTCAATGACGTCGGCTTTTTCAAGGGCCACACCTGGCAACACCATCAATCGTAGTGGAACATGGCATTGCTTTGCCCAACAAAGACGATGAGAGCCTGGCCATGCATTTGCGGCGTCTAATGCTATTGCGCGCATGTCGTCGTGCCTACATGCCACTCAAATCTAATTTTCGATCCAAAATTAATTTTCTTATTTGAAAATTAGATGTCGGACATGAAAACCAATTTTCTTAAAATCTAGAAAAAAATCAATAACAATCAACCACTGATTATTCCTAAGATTCAAAAACTTGAAGCAAACACAAAGTTGACTCTAATACCATTGTTGAAAATTCACTTATACATGCATAATGAAATTCAAAATAATTTCAATTCCCTTCAAGAATTGTCTCTGTGTTCAAACAGAAATCGTGATTAAAATTATATATTTAGTAAATTCTTCAAACTCCTTTAAGAATTTTGATCACGAACAATCACAATCTCTCTTTCAGGCAATCCCTGCGAGGCTTCCTGGGTAAGGGACGAGACGACGTCTTAGAACTTCTTCTAGCACGAACAATCACAATCTCTCTTTCTCCTTTGTGTGTCTCAATCTTCCTTATTTTTTTCACACCACAACTGTCCATTTGTCCAATCTCCAATGGTAATGCACATGGAAGAACAAAAATGAGAGATTGGAGTTTCTCTCCTTTGTGCTAGCAAAAATATTGTATAGTGGACTTTATTGAACCCGTAATAATGAAAAATTCAAACCCTAGATATTTACTTATAAATATTTAAGTGGAATTGACCCAACCACTGAACAGTTCAGTGTCGGTTCATTAGTTAATTAATTTAATTAATTAAACTTGGCTTATAAATAAACAATCTAATTAATTAATTTTACAAATATTTAACGCTTGTCAATTAATTAATTCTTAACATCATTCTTTAAGTTCCCACCTTTCTTGTGTAACCCGTTAGGTTCTCGACCACGATGTTGGACGACATGAATTATTATTTTAATTTAATCAAAATAGGATAAATTAAAAATTTTCCTTTTAATTAATCATTAATTCATCTATATTAATTAATTCACATTACTCACCTCAAATTGGCATCTAGTAATATGTCATAGCAATATATGTGACGAAAAATGTCACATGGTATGACCAAAACAAACTTATTCATTTATTGTGAAACTATAATGAATGATATGAAATTTATCTTGTATGTGGGGCAATTTTCAACTATAATATCTTCATCAATATGATCCGATTAATTACGAATAGGAAAGCATGTGAATCTTGATTATCGATCATAACAAGAGTGACAAATCCTCTAAAATCATTCACAACCTTAATATAATTCTAACATATCCGAACAATGTCATATTAATGACTCTTGACAAAGCAATGTCCAAAATCACCAAAGTATGTCTGTATTCATATAAGATATCATGATAACTTTAAGTCTTAGAACCAATTTCACTATCGAATCTTAAAGATTAACCACTGATGCTCAGATAATAATTCACGTGGAATCTGTATTGCGGATTTCCAAAATTTGTTCTCTTGATAAAACATCCACACGTCCATTTAGATGTAACAACAGTTTAGCTTGTGAAATCAATTACTCACTTCGTAAGTAAGAAATGTGACACCTGCTGATAATATCCGTAATAACGATATCTGTATCTCGTTAATACTTACGATCAAGGATAATTTTAGATTTAGTCAAATGCAATTTATAACTTGCAATACAACGTCTTGAGATTAACATGTTACTCATACTTGAATTTATGAGCTCTATTAATTTAATTTATCAGAATAATAATTCAATTAAACAATAGAATTGCAATCAATAAAAAAATGCATAAATTATATATTAAAAGTGTTTACATCCAAAAATTGATTGGATCTAAGACATAATACCTCTAGAATGGTGGTTAGATCTCTATACAATCATCAAAGCTAATGTTTAAATGTTTTGCTTGATGTCTTGCATTTTCATTGCGAATCACTTCTTGAACAAAATGGTTCTAAGCATGCATCAAACAATTGGGATAATCTTGAAATGTTGCTAGCAATACATTTCTCTATATTGTACCATCCTATTTATGATAAGTTGCGACTCTTTGGGTCATAGCCCTCTTGAGGGTCTCTCGAACCTTACTATATACTTGTTTAAGAGTCCATGTATGGCTTGGGTTAAACTGGTAGCTTTTTGTCAAATTTTGTTATTGTTTGATAGGTCAATTGATTTTCCAAGGAAGGTTTACAAAAAGCTACCAGTTTATTTGTTAACTTCACTAAAGGATTGAAATAGCAAATAGTTTTTAGGATTTATCAAGTCTCAATGAAAAAAACCTAAAGCAAAGTAATTCTTTAAATGAACAAGTGAAAACTAAGGTTTTGAATAAGTAAAGGATCAATAATGTCTTCAATGTTTGGATGAATAGTAGAATGCTTTTCATTGTGTTTAGGGATGAATACTATCATGTATATGTAGTTTTCAATCATCCCTACATGCATAGACGGACCCACATGGGGTCATGTGGAGTCAATTGACACCACAAAAATTTCTTTTTTTTTTCTTTGTAAATTATTCAGACTTATTGCCTGTTGCCAAACTATTTTTTTTAATATGTAAATTAAGCCAAACTTTGCCCAATTGCACAAGCCCATTGCCAAGCCCAATTGAATTACCCATTACCAAAACTTGCTTTTGATCAATTAATTTGCATTTGTCTTATTTGGAACATCCATTTCATTTCATCATTTGCGCTATCCAAACTCCAAAGCCCCACGGTCAAAGAGAACTCAGAGAAGAGAAAGAAAATTTGCCGGCACAAAAGGTTCAAATTCATATTTTGGGATTTTCTTTTGTTGTGCTAATTTCCATTTAGGTAACAAATCTACCTCTAGTTGTTTGACATTTGTTTTTCAAGACCTCATTTTCCCTCAAATTTGTCTACTGTCTACTATCCACATTAGAAATTTGATGTGTTATGAGATTGGACAAAGCGTTTTATTTTTCTCCTCCACTTGTATGTTTTATTTGACAGGTGATTGCGGAGATATACATTGTTTGTTCAAAAGAAATTATTATCAATTTCAAGTTTAAACATTGTTTTCAATTTCCAATTCAAGTAAGTAATGGCTTTCTCTAACTTGATGATCTAGGATTATTTATGAAATTAATTGTTGTCTATTATGATTTATGAACTTCATATTGTCTTTTGATGAAAAATGAAATATAGTATTTATTTATGTATTGAATTTGATTTTGTTACAGTCATGGAGAGATATTTTAAACGAAAATCTGCATTTTCGAGTGGAGAGCAAAATATAGTTGAAACGAGTGTAAGTGTTCAAGATAAAATAGACGGCGGAGAAGAAACAAATATTGGGGATAAAAGAGATGTTCAAGATCAAATTGATTTAGCACAACTTCCTTCAGATCTTGGATGAAGAAAGCCAATTAGGAATTATAATGTTAATGTTCGGGATGAAATTCGAAGAGCATATGTACAAAGGGGTCCGTATCAGCCTCGAAATCACATGTATCCACAGAAAGAATTTGGAGATTCGTCAATAAGGCGATTTAAACCTTCTTGGTTTAATGACTTTTCTAATTGGTTGGAATACAGTATAGCAAAAGATGCTCTATTTTGCTTTTATTGTTATCTTTTCAAACCAAATAGTGAAGAACATGGTGGTGGTGATTCTTTTGTTGATGGAGGGTTCTCAAATTGGAAAAAGAAAGGAAGACTTCAAACTCATATTGGGAAAAGTGGTAGTGCACTCAATCAAGCGCGAATTAAATATGAGGCTGTTGAGAATTAGAAACAAAATATTGATTGTGTTCTCTTTAAAAAGTCGAAAATAACTAAAGATGAGTACCTGATTCGTCTGAATGCTTCAATTGATTGTGTTCGATTGCTTCTACAGCAAGGGCTTTCATTTCGTGGAAATGACGAATCTGAAGATTCAAGAAATCAAGGGAATTTTCTTGAACTATTGAAGTGGTTATGCGATCATAATAATGAGATTAAGGCTGTTTCTTCGAAGCTGAAAATCTTTAGTTAATATCACCTAGTATTCAAAAGGATATTGTGAGTGTTATTGCATTTGAAACACTTAATGTTATTATGAAAGATATTGGTGATGGTTGTTTTCTATTCTTGTTGATGAATCTCGTGATGTTTCAGTAAAGGAGCAAATGCCAATTGTTTTACGCTATGTAAATAAGAAAGGACGAGCAATGGAACGTTTTATCGGTATTGAACATGTTTCAAGTACCACGGCTCTCTCACTTAGGGATGCTATTGATCATTTATTCTCTAGATTTAACTTAAGTATATCTAGTTTAAGAGATCAAGGCTATGGTGGGGCAAATAATATGCGAGGTGAGTATAATGGTCTTAAAGCACTTATTTTGAAAGAGAATCTGAGTGCTTTCTATATTCATTGTTTTGCTCATCAGTTACACTAGCAATTGTAGCTGTGGCAAACAAGCATGCAGATATTGAAACATTCTTTAATCTAGTGAATAAAGTTGTGAATGTTGTAGGAGGATCAGCAGAGAAAAAGAGGCTTGAAGTTGTTGAATCATTAAATATTGGTGAAATCTCAAGTGGAAAGGGCCTTAATCAAGAAACTGATCTGAAGTAACCCGATGATACTTGTTGGGGATCTCACTGTAATTCTTTACTTAGCTTGATTCTCATGTTTTCTGCTATAGTTGATGTCATTGAGATGATTGCCACTATGATATTAGTTGTGGAAAGAGAGGTGAAGTGCGTATTTTGTTGGGATCTATGTTGACATTTGATTTTGTATGTAGTCTGCATCTCATGAAAAAGGTATTGGGTATTTTAGATGAATAGTCAAAATAATTAAAAAGAAGAGATCAAGACATTGTTAATGCTATGAAATTAGTGAAAATATGCAAAGAACAGCTCCAAACAACGAGAGACAATGAATGTGACTCATTTTTAAGAACAATTTCTTGTTTTTGTGAAAGGTACAACATTGATGTTCTCAACATGGATGATATATTTATGCCCCTAGGTCGCTCACGGTGTAATAATCAAGGAATGACAAATCTGCATCATTTTCGTGTGGATTTTTTCTATGCTATCATTGATTTGCAAATTCAAGAATTGAATGATCACTTCCCCAAGGCAAATAGCGACTTACTCCTTTGTATTGTATGCTTATGTCTCAATAATTCATTTTTTGCTTTCGACAAGGACAAGTTGATTCAATTGTGTGAGTTTTATCCCAATGATTTTAAACCAATAGAGATCTTGACATTTGAAGAGCAACTTCAAATATATATTATTGATATGCGCACTCACGAAGATTTTGAAGGGTTATGAGGCCTTAATGATCTTGTAAAAAAGTTGGTTGTGATGAAGAAAATGAGGTATACCCATTAGTTTACATGCTTGTAACATTGGCATTAATTCTTCCAGTTGCTACTGCTATAGTAGAGAGAGTATTTTCTGCAATGAAGATTGTCAAGAATCGATTGTATAATCGGATAGGAGATCAATGGTTAATGATAAGTGTATTTTATACACTTATGTAGACCTAAAAATATAGAATTTTAATAGTTCTTTAAATAAATTATAGCCTAATTTATTGTATATTTCATTTATTAGGTAAAACTCGATAGTTGGAAGCTAAATTGAAAGAAAGAAGTGAAAAACGAAGAAAAATGGCGAAGTACAAAGTTGAGGACCAAATTGCAAATATTCAATGGTTGAATTGGACCATAAGAGATATTTTAAAGATTGATGGGAGTCAATTGGATGTAATTAGAAGTAAAAAAGCAATGGCAAATTATCATAATATTACCATAAATCGACTTCCAATCATATGATATATCTTTTAGATTTTTAGTCAAAGATCGCAACCAATTTTTGGCATAGTAAACGTCCGAATTGGAAAATATCTATCTCTAGGAAAATTGTATCCCTTTTAGTTATCTTTCCAATTCATTTTGAATCAACTCAATCAGATATTAGGAGACAAAGTTATGATCAAAATACTAACTGCTGTGTAGATACAAAAAATCCGCGCGCGAGTGTAACTTTCCTTATTCGATTGGAACTTTTTTGGAAACCAATTTGGGTCTGATTGTTCACCAATTTTCGACCACTACAAATACCCAAGAGGAGAATATAAGAAGGGGGCTCTCATACATATCTCTTATATATAATATACTCCAATATTCATCAATTATAATCATCAAAGGAGGAGAATTCATTGTTTTTGTGAGAAAATTGAAGGGGACTTACAAGAATTCAATCAAGTAAAGATTCAAACTTGGTATTGGACGAAGTAACCGTGAATAAAGCAAAAGGCATTCTGAAAGCCCTACCCTCTCAACTCTAGAACTCTTCCATTGCCTACAAAGATTTCCATTTTCTAGTTGTCGAACGTTGTCGCTAGTATCCCACGGCCAGTCAATAGTGAATCTCCTCCAATTTTTGCAAGAATCGTAGCGGAGTGGTAGCTATTGGGTTAATTCTTGACTTATTTTCATTAAGTTTGTTCTTTCTTTGATTTTTTCATGGGTTTTTTGTTATTTGACGTGTTCCACTATTGATTAATGTGTTAAAAAATTAGTATAATTTATAGTGAGGGTGATGGGTTTCTTCGAACTGGTTTAGGGTTATTAATGGTTCAATGACTGTTATGCAATGTTTGGTTGTTTAATTTTTTTTTACTGATCATTCGAACCAACCATTTTATTGAAAATCCAAAATATTCAATGCAGTTTGCATACAAATTGATAAAGCTCCCATGTGAGATTTTTTCAGGGCAGAAAAGAAGTAGTTGAAACTTTATGCTCTTCTTTACATTGTTTTTCAAGGAAATAATAGAGCTTATTGAATATACAACATCAACACTGTATTTCTTTTTGACACGTCTACTTCATGCATATATGTAAATTTACTTTTTTGTCTTCTAGCTTGGTGCTTTTAAGATTTTCAAGCAGGATCCTGTCATTACTTTCATTAGGAGTGAACAGTGACAGAATGATCACAAACAATGTAATAAAATGTTTGGTTTTTTAATTCCTATTTTAACTGTAAGAAAAAAAAAGAATATTCTAAAACACACAAACAAAAGATGCAATTAAGCCAACTTAGACGTCTCGATTTGGTAGTGATCTGGTATTATGCAATGAAATGTTAGTTTTTATGCATATATCATGTTTCCATTCGATCCTTAGTTTTACATTATTAACTGTTAGCTAGATGCCAAAATGAGTAGAACGATTTTTGCCTCGACATCTCCATGCCTGCATGTGAACTCTCTGTCTTATATATATATATATTTATTGTCCATTATTATCTTTTTGGTTTTTTTGACCAGTTATATAAGAATGTAGATTCTACATGTTTCTGTTCTCTTACACATTACATTAATATCATTCAATAAGATATTGCTACATTATTTAATTACCGGAGTTGCACCTTTCAATGTCGAAAAATAAGATGAAATATTATTCGTCTTTGTGATTTCATATATTTATTAGGTTATTTTATGTACTTAGTAGACTCTTATATTTTTTGCCATGTTCGTTTGTCGTTATCCGTAGATGAGTTTCTTCTTACACCGATACAAAATTCCAGAGGAAGAGAGGGTTCCGGCCCAGGTTTCGCAGGTGAGCAATACCAAATATATATCACTTGTTCTCGACAAATTAGATGTGCAACAGAAGACTGTGTTCAAGGAAAGTTGTTCAGGACATGTTGAGAAGTTGCTATAGCTCAAATTGTTTGGGAAATTAGTTAATGAAATGGTTAATAGATCAGTCATTTGTAGAAAATGTTTTGAGGCTTGGTTCAATGTGAATGAACAATTTGCAAGATTTGGAAGGCCGGAGATTACACTAATTGCTAGCTTGAAATGTGATGAATTGCCTAGAGGGTCTACTTCTGACAGCATCGTAGAGAAAACTCGGCTATGGGACAAAATGTTTCCCAGTAAAGAACGAATAACTTGTAGCGATCTGGAGAAGGTTTTCCTAAAATGTGGCAACCATAACGATTGTTACAAGCTTGAATTGTCACTAATCATTGAAGGAGTTTTCAATTCGAGAGATCGAAATGTGGGGATTTATATGGTAACTCTCTCCATTGTAGACGACTTAGATTTCTTCAACGCCTAACCACGGGGGACTGTGTGCTTTAAACTTCTCGTCAAATCACACTCCATGGATGGGAAAGAAAGGCAGACTTGGCAAGTTCAACGATTGTGATAGGATGTCCAATACGATGTACGGATGATCTCTTACTATTTAGGTATGTCCGTATATTTCATTCACAATCACTGCACTTTGTTATTTTTGTCCATATACGGTGACCACTATGTGACATGCGTTGCAGTTGTGGGTGTATAATGCAATCCCGGAGTTGGAAAGTCCAGATATATGACTGTAGCAATAATGTTCACACAGCAGATGCAGTTAAGGCATACGCAAAAGCAACATTCAGTTTGGTTCAAGCATTATTGTTGTCTTCAGTCCTTTCCACCAGACGAGATATGAAGAAACATATAAACAAACAAATGAAGCAGGAAATTATAACTTATCTACCATGTGCGAACAATGGGTGAGCATTTCAGCAGCTTGTTATTTACTATAATATATAATTTCTCATAAATACTAATTTAGACTAACGTAAAACTATTTGTTCTATAGGCCAAATTGTGTAATTTTTGTACTCAAATATATAGAATGCTTCGTTCTAAGGCATCCAATAGAATCAGATTCATCAGACAGGATGACTCTATACAGATGAAAGATTGCGTAGATCTTTGTTATAATGAATTCTTTCTTCATCCCCGTTTATCTTGATTGTAATGAATGATTGTAGTGGATAAGCAGGGTATACTAACTCGAACATGCCTTTGTTAATTTAGTTAGGATAATTGTTTGTAGCTTTTATTGGTAGATAGTGAAAAAGTCATAGTGGCATGTTCACTTTAATTACGTGACCGTTGATTAGATTTCACCACCAATGTCCATGTACCGTGTTAATTGTTATATTTTTATTTTTCTCGTACTCGTACTGTCATTCTAGACAAATGTAATGTTAAGTATCGAGATATGCAGGCATTTAATGTTGAGAACTATACGTCAAATGTCAAGAAATGTCGAGAAATTTCCTGTTTCGGTACAAATGTTAACGCTATGTGACTGTAATGTCAAGTGTCGATCTAATCCGATTACAAATGTCGATAACAACTTTTAAAGTGCTGGAACAACATGAAATGTCATGAATTGCATCGATTTTCCTTTGTCGTTCAATATTTTCCTACTTTTTGGACTACCCATTCTCCAATAAATACTATTCGAAGTATTAACAATAGAAAGAAACTGAGCCAAATGGAGGCTAAGATAGACTGATATGACAAGCACAAGATGTTATGGGGATATAACATGTCAATCAAATGTAAATATAAGTAGGTGAAATTGGTGTTAGGACTTTTAATGCATTAATGCACACGTCACTGTCCACTATAAAATAATGAAATTGGCATCAACATGCAAGTATGGTTCTTTCAACAAAATACTAACGTGAAAATGTTCTTCCAGTTAAAATGTCTTCATCAATTGAATGGACTCTGCATATTGATGTTGTCATGAACGTATCACTGCCTGGCTCTTCAACAAACAACCCCATCATCATCGACTTAGAAAATGACGAAGAAATCAATGTCGTTGTTCCATATATTCCTCAAACAATGACTACCATCGTTGGGTTTGCCTTCACCCCATTTCATTTCCAAAACTAATCAACAAAATTAAGCCTTTTGAAGTTGGAATTAGTGATCATAATGTCAATCGTGAGAAAAGTACCAATGGAGGTCCTAACGGAAGCAGACCAAGCTTTGGTGGACAACGATTTCGGGACGGTTCCAGCTAGAAAATGATGATGTGATCATGATAAGCTCTGACGACGACGATGACAATGTTATGTCCTCTTTGTCGGTTGTGGAGGACATGGAGAAGGTTCGATCATATAATTGAAATGTCTAAGCATATCCAGTGACATATGTATAGGTATATGGATAATGAATAATTTTTGTGGTGACGACCAATTTGTGTGTACAGTGACTTTGAACATGCACATAGTTGTTGACATGCTTTTTGTTGTGATGACTATTTAGTATGGCCAATGACTTAAAGAAAAAAAAGAAAAAAAGAAAGAAAAGCTAGTTATGCATGGCTTCCTTTTGTATCAATTTCCAAGTTGTATATATAATAATGAAGAAAATTGTAGTAATGAAGCAGTTATTGACTTTTGTCCTCATGAAATGACGTGGTAATAAAATTGAACCCTACCAATGACATCTGGAAAGGAAAGGATAAAAAGCACGTAATGCGGAGAAATCTATTGAACACATAGATAATAGATGTTAGCGAATATATCATTTCATCTATAAAATCAAACCCTACCAATTATATTTGAAAAGAAAATGATAGAAAGCATAAAATGCATAGAAACCTATTGAACACATGGATAATCATGTTAGCAAATCATTTCATACACAAAATACATGTGGAAATTCAAGTGCATGTGTTACTTGATAGTGTCGGGTTTTTACATGTTTGCCTATTGTGTTCAAAACCACCACATTTTCGGGTGCTAGTAGACCATTCAGTTCTTGACATTTTACATTGGGTAGGAGGTCGACCTGGCGCTATACATATATATGGAGGAAAAATATTGAAGGAACTAATAGCATCAGGAACAACCCAATCTGACCACATTCCAACGGGGTAAAGAAGTTCGGTGTACGAAACTTACCAACACCCTATGGTGTAGTAACCGGAGTACAAGTCGTACTATGATATACCTTTTGAGCTAGCAGCGGAGAACGCACGTGCACATGAAATTTATCGTATTTGAAACTCTCGGCATGAGCATGTCTTACCTACAAGGTCGACAGTACATATTTCTACACCTGTACCAACCTCAAAAATGAGTTCATCAACTTTCGTACTTCCAAGGTTGTACCGGCATCAAAAGATTGTCTCAATTTCCCATTCATTTTTTATGTTAGGACAATATGATAATTGGTAGACGTATTTCTCCGCTTGTAGGACCATTGTTGCATCAATGTCGTAATGTTTTGGACCAACAAGGTTATAGGAAAATTTCTTTGTCGCCCGAGGACTGAATTCAATGGCTCTATAATGTTACTAGTCATGACGTTGTACCGATTACCAACAAAATTTGCCCGTTACCTAGTGGATGGACCAACACGTTCCAAATAAGAAGCAACTGTTGACTGAATGGTCCGAATCTATCTCATTATTTGCTCGACTTCGGATACACGGTATGCGAGTGCTGCACTTTTGAAAAGGAATATGACATTTTGACTGCTATACCTAGCAATGAGATTTTTCTCGATTTGCCATATGCAAGCACCGTGGTATGAAAGTGGGAATAGCATCATAGTTGCTCGCTTAATGTTGTTTTTCCTGTCGGACACAAACACTAGCTGATTTGAGTCATTGACAATATCTTTCAACTTCGTGAAAAACCAATACCACAATACATTTATTTTCCCATCGACAACACCTTAAGCAATATGATATATTTGGATGTTGGTATCTTGCGCTGCAGCTACTAGCAGTGTTCCCTTATACCGACCCTTCAAATGACTCCCGTCAACGTAAATTACGGGCCTCATGTACTATCAAAAACCACGTATGCTTAGCAGAATGCTAAGAAGAAATATAAGAACCTATTATTGGAGTCGAGCTCAATGTGTGTAATGTTTCCTGAGTTTCTCTCAGTTAACTTATAACACTATGACGGCAATTTCTGATAACTCTCTTCAGGTAAATCGTGAAGAATTTGAAGTATCTTCTCTTTACCCCGCCACGCTTTACTGTAGCTAATTCGTACATCGAACTCACATTGCATATTCCCGACAATGCCCGCTGGAACGTAGGGTTGGTTTTCATCGGTCCAATCATCGAGTAATGTGATGTCCAATCAGTGCACTCGTTGCATGAATTCGCGCATTCCGTCGAACGTCCAAAAAAATATGTGCTCAGGTATGTACTTTCGAATCTTAAAGAAGTCTGTACTTTTATCTTAGAGGCTCGTAGTAGCCAATGGCACGTGGTGTCGATGCGGCACACAGTAAGAGATCTGAGATTGGACTTTTTAACCTGGAAATGAAACTTCTTTGTTAAAGCATTTAATCGAAGCCTTGTGTGTAGCTGTTTCTTGGTAAGGAAGATTTGATTCTCATGAATTTCCTCTTGATCGATCGACTAAATTGTATTTTCGATATACGAATTTCCTTCACCTAAACTATACCCGTGTTATGAATCATTTCTGGCTCTTGTAGTTCACACACACTGACTTCGTCGCGTGCATCTTTTATTGGCGAGAAAGGGTCATCTTTGACATGCATTTCGTGCTCCTCAGCATCATATTCACGTGCAATTACACACAAAGCTGCTTGTGTGTGAACAGAATGTACCATTGCAAAGCCTCAGCGTTAGCTACATCAACAAGGGTACGTTCATGTTTGGAACTTTAAATTTTAGTTAAATCTGAAACTGCAGTTTGTCAACGTTGAGCTTCTCAAATAATTTATATACAAGCTCTTCATACTCAATATCATGTTGAACAACAATTGATGTTTTTCGGTTGCCTAACGACTTCTACTCATCATCAATGTTGACGAATGTACCACCATAGGAGACAGCGAATCTCATAACATCAACCATATCTGTATGTCATAAACAACAAAAAATAGTATCAACTAATAATCAATACCTCAAATGAATATGCTAACTACCCGCAAGCAATATACAAAAAATGTTCCCTAAATTTGTCATGGTACTTGTAATGTTACTCTCGATATTATCAAATGTTGAGGATGGCATTAAAAATAACATTCTCGATGTTTGTAATTGTTGAAAATGACATTTCAAGTACCAATCTTGACAGCTGTAAAATGTCGAGAGTAACATGACAAGATTCCACTTTACCATATGCATTTATCATCTTTTTAATCTTCAATCTCCATTTTGCAAAGAATTTATGCTATCATTAATGACATTTTAACTACATGAGTACCTTGAATTATTAGTCAACTAAGTTGTTTAAGAAGGTTATGACAAATATCTATTACTTGTTTGGACAATCTACCACATTGAAATCAAATATGTAACAACTACTACACAACTTCTCAATAAAGATCAGATATCAAAGGAAAATGCCTTCTGCCCAGAAATAAGGAAAGCCTAGTCAACTTCAAATTTCGATGACATTAAATTTTCTCAACATGAAGTAATTATTTCTTCTTTTGGAGTTGGAATCATAGATTTCTTTCTAGTTATTAATGCTTGCTATTTTATGTTCTTCATTTTTCCTAAAATAATTTGTTAATATCTAAAGAAAAATGCAAGCAAGTGGACAATCATAGGTAATAGCAACAATTATTGTGGCTTCCCATGCCATTGCTCTTCTCGAGATCAGTGTCAACTTGCAAAAGAAAAGTTAAGAATCATTTATTCTTTCATTAGGGGTAAAATAGAGATTTTGATATCAAATTTGGCTATTTTTGCAAAGATTATCAAAAGTAGACATTTTTGAATTGACATATGTGAAATTGGACATTTTTGCGAATGTCCCTTGATATAATAGAATCCATTTAATCATTTATTGCCTCTTTCCAAAATATACAACCTCTAGAAAACGTTGCTTCACAATAGGTTTTAGGATCATTTTCCACTTGAAGAGCAAAATGAATTATTCTTAGAACATTTTCTTATTTCTCTATATTAAGTATTTGGAATCTATTTCATTCGATCCTAGATCTTTTTTTTCTAGTGCTTTTACTTCTTCGAGGTTCACTTTCAACATTTTTTGTAGATGTCTCTTCTTGTGATTCTCTAGAATTTAGAATAACTTCATTATTTTTATTTTGAGAATTTCTTGCTACTAATACATTCTCGAAAAACTCCACATCCCTTG